TATTGGGGCTCGTGGGCCCCCGTGCAGCAGATGGAGGAGGTCTTCAGGTTCTACCTTCGGAAGTTCCCAGAGCTTTCCTGGTCTGAGGTCCGCGACCCTACGGGGGCTGTAGTGTGCACTCTTCAGTGGATTCGATGGGTTCCTGACGGTTACTCCAAGTGGTTCATGCCGACTGAGATGCCGATCGACCTCAGTAAGCTTAGGAGCCGCAGCCTCAAGTGCCTCGTGGACTTGGCAACTAAGGATGTATCTGTCGGTGACCTGCAGTGGGAGCATGGCGGCGTCACCTGCTCCAGGCCCATGCTTGGGCCAATTGCCCAGGTATGTCAGGACCTCAGGAAGAAAGGGGGATATTTGGAGGCATCTTTGCTGGCTAACCATGTTGCTGGAGGATTGGCTACGCAGCTGGAATTATATCAGGATCGACGGCTTCTGAGTGGGACCTGCCAATTGTGTGGTTTTCCTGAAGGGGGTAGGTTGCACATAATGTTTGGATGCCCTGGGAACCAGTTGTTTAGACGAGGCCAAGGTTTTGACAAGGAGCTGCCTGGATGGGAACGTGGGGACCCTAATGACCCCTTCCTCGCTCGGTGCCTCCTCTCCTCCCCCACCTTAAGGTCCCCCGTGCCCAAGACTCTGGACAGGTGGAGGTGGATTGTTCCGCCGCCTGACGGATTCGTTTCAGGTGAGATTTGCTCCGATGGCTCAGCCCTGGATCCCAAGGTCAGGCAACATAGTAGAGCAGGTTGGGCATTCGCCATGTTGAACGAAGCTGGGGACATCCTGGCCAGTGCGTCAGGACCGCTCCCCCACCCCTTGCAGGACATATCTGGGGCCGAACTTTTATGCAGTGCTCATGATCCTCAGGCTTGCCGGACCTGGGAGCTCAGAAGTAGGCATTGATTGTGAAGCTCTGATTTCTTTTTGGTCCCGAGGGTGTCTCCAGGACTGCGCGGATTTGCCCTTCGGAGAGAAGTTTTTGCTCGGATTTCGGACCGAGGCCCAGAAACCGCCACTTTCTTTAATGTACCTGCTCACAAGAGCAGGACGAGTGCCGATGCCCTAGGCTGTCCAGCCTGGGCGTGGCACGGCAATCGAGCTGTCGATTATCTGTCCAAGCAGGCCGCCCGCGAGGTTCCCCACTCGCAGCATCTCCAGGACGTGGTGGCCAGGCAGGCCGCGCGTCTATCCTCTCTGTCTCGTTTCCCGGCGAGGATGCTTGGTCAGTGTTCGCGCCGTCGTTTTCCAGATGTTGAGTTTTGTAAGGCCAGGCCCAGGGCGAAACCTGACGGGCTGCTCATAGTGCCGAGCCCGAACGGTCATCAGGTTCAGCACTGTGGCGAAGGTTTTTGCTTGTGCTATCTGTCTGTCCTGATCGAGGACTTACGCGGGCTTGGTCTTGACTAGTTGTACTGGCATTCTCAAATTAATTTGTCAGGCGCACTCGACCCATCGACTTTGGGGGAGTTTCGAGTCCGTCCAGAATCAGCGTTTGTACTATTGTGCGGTGTGTGGAAGCTTTGGCAGAGCTAAGATCTTGAAGTTGGGTGCGAATTGCCTTGGGCATCCAGCGAATCGAGATGCTGCCAATAGTCTGTCCCTCCTAAAGAGGGGGATTGACCCCTCCACTAAGACATTTCGGCCACAGCATCCCCGTTCAGAGAGGTTGAGGTTGCTGTGTTGCCCAAATGTTGTTCCCCACTCTGTCCCGCTCGCCCCCTCTCTCTGCTGCTGGTCTCACGCCGTGGGATCATTTAGGTCAAAGGCTGAAAGGCTGAAAGGAGGAGGAGGAGGAGGAGGAGGAGGAAAAGGAAAAGGAGGAGGAGGAGGAGGAGGAGGAGGAGGAGGAGGAGGAGGGAGGGTGGAGGAGTGGGAAAGGATCGAAATGTCAGTTTGTCTTCCCCCTCTTGGGCTCTCTTGGAGACCTCTTGAGGCCCTCCAGGGGCCGTCTTGGGGGGCCCCTGGGGCTGTCTGCGGGCCCTCTTGGGCCGTCTTGGGCCCTCTGAGGCCGTCTTGTGGCGACAGTGGGGGCCGCTTGGGCCGTCGTGTTCCCTGTCAAAATGAAAATGCGGATGTGCTGGAAGTGTCAGTTTTCCTTGGAATGTGATGATTTGGGCATCTTGGGGCCCTCTCGGCGATCGTCTGGAAGCGCTTTTGGGGTGTCTTGGGAGCCTCGCGGGCCATCTTGAAGCCATATTGGATCGTCGTGGGGCTACCCTGGGCCGTCCTGACGCTCTGTTCGACTGTCTTGGTGTTCTGTCTGGGCCCCTGTTGGGCTGTCTCGGGGCTTTTTGGGGGCTCTGGAGGCCCCTGGGGTGCGTTGGCGAGCTCGTGCCCCCTCCCCCCTAGTGCCCCCCCCCCCCCCCCCCCCCCCCCCCCCTTCCCGAATGGCATTTTGGACCCCAGGGGGGGGGGGGAAAGGGGAAGGGAAACAACCAAATTCCCCACACGCCGTTTCACCCCCGCTTGCCGGGGATCGGCGGGCTTGTTTTCTAAGGCAGTCGGCATGTGCACCGGTCTGGAGGCCATGTAGTCGCCGTCGCCGCACCGTCGCCGCTTCGTCGCCGGCCATCGTCTGGGCCTGTGCGTCGGTCTGGTGGACATGGAGTCGCCGTCGCCGCCCCGTCGCCGCTTCGTCGCCACCAGACAGACGTCTGGGCCTGTCTGTCGGACTGGCGGCTATGTTGCCGCTCTGTCGCTGCCGTCGCCGTTAGGGTGCACCACCTGGATTGATGCGGTGCTTTGGATGCTTCGCGTTGCTTTACATTGCATGGCATTGCTGTGCATTGTGGTTTCTTGCGTTGTTCTGTCATGTTTGCATTGCGTTGCCTTGTTTTGCTTTGCTTTGCGTTGCTTGCGCTGCTATGCATGGCGTTGCGTTAATTTCCGTTGCGTCACTTTGCTTGCCTGTTTTCAAGGTGTGCGTCGGGCTGGCGTCTGTGTTGCCGCCGTCGCAACCCCGTCGCCGCCTCGTCGCCGGCCGAAGTCTGGGGCTACCCGTCGGTCTGGCGGCCATGTTGCTGATGTCGCCGCCCCGTCGGCGCCTCGTCGCCGCCAGACGTCTGGGCCTATGTGTCGGTCTGGCGGCTATGCTGCTGCCGTCGCTTCCCCGTCGCCGTCTCGTCGATCTTCTTTCCAACTCCCTGCGGCAAGTCCCGCCGCAGTGCCAGCCCAGCATTCTGGGTGCCGACAATTCGAGGGTGCACGGGAGGCCGTCACGTGGGAGAGCCATGTTGAGTATGTTGAGGATTGTGAGGATGATGGAGGTAATGACGATGATGAGGTTGTTGTTGATGTTGATGATGATGGCGGCGACAATGATGGTGACGATGATGATGTTGTTGTTGATGATGTTGATGATGATGGTGATGATGCCGAGTATGGTGATGCTGATGATGATGACGTCTGCGATGACGTCCGTGATGATGTTGATTATAATGATGTCGGTGGTGATGTTGATTATGATATTGATGCTTATGAGGATGGTACCGATGATGATACTCGTGCTACTGATTTGTTGTTGATGCAGATGATGATGCTGATGCTGATGGTGCTTCTGCTGGTGCTGATGCGGCTGCCGATGCTGATGACGATGTCGATGATGATCATGATGATCATTATGATCATGCTGATGCTGATGATGATGATGCTGATACTGATGATGCGTATGATGATGATCATGTTGCTGGTGATGATGACGCTGATGCTGATGTTGATGCTGATGCTGATTATGGTGCAGATCAGGATGATGATGACGATGATGATGATGACGATGATGATGATGTTGATGATGATGATGATGATGATGATGATGATGATGATGATGATGATGATGATGATGATGGTGCTGAGGATGATGATGATGATGATGATGATGATGATGATGATGATGATGATGATGATGATGATGATGATGATCTTATTTCATTCATTGTGCCAGAGACGCTATTTGCTGCCAGGGGGCGAGGGCGACTGTCTCGCCAGCAGACGGGCGCGTGAGACAGACTGGGCAGCAGCCAAACTCGAGAGACCAGAGAGGCGAGAGAGGGGGGGAGGGAGGGAGACTTGAGCCGAGGCGGTTGCGGCACAGAGCATTGCAACGATCAAAGCACTACAAGCAGTTATATGATCTTATTTCATTCATTGTGCCAGAGACGCTATTTGCTGCCAGGGGGCGAGGGCGACTGTCTCGCCAGCAGACGGGCGCGTGAGACAGACTGGGCAGCAGCCAAACTCGAGAGACCAGTACTTGGCATACCTGCAGACCCTGGCCCACGGCCGACAACATTATCAAACATTTACCGACGCAAGCTTACTGAGCCTCGCGTCGCGGAGGTTCGTCGCACTATTAACGAGCCAATCCGCACCCCACTGGGAAAACTCACGAGGGTATCTGTTCACGCTGAGAGCCCATGGGCGGCCAAGGGGATCGAGCGCCGTCAATCTGACGTGAAACTTGTTGTTGCCAGTGCACCTTCCACCGCGACCGTCACACAGAGGACGCGCGCTCAGTCGCGGAAAATCTGCGCCCCACGCCCACAGCTTAGTCGGGCGGGGGTGCAAGCCTCCGTACTGACAGAAGTTTAATTCGGCAGACTGCGAGGCTAGCGAGCACGCGTGCCTGAAAGAAGCGAGCGACGGCTGGGCCGAGCAGAGAGGGCATTCAGCTATAACAGGGACCCTTAATCGATGGCTCTCGAGGATCATGGTGGCGAGCGAACCCCAGAAGCCCCGAGAGCGGGAGGAGGGGGGCCCAGGACCCGAGGAAGGAGAGGCCCACACCCCCAGGACCAGGGACCCCCGAAGCCACCCCAAGATCCTCTGGCGCACCGCGGGTCGAGACCAGTCAAGACCAGGATGCTTGTTGGGATCGAAACAGATGGCGGCGAATCCCCGAGCTCGCCAGCGCCGAACAATCGGCCACGAGGCGCTTCCAATCCCAATGAAAACCGAGCGAGGAAAAACGCAGGCAGCAGCGAGAGCTGCCGACAGCTGGCGCGTCAGATAGCCGTCCACCTGCTCGTCAGTGATGGTTTCACCTGGCCACGAGACGAGACGGCCCGCCTCGCGGGCACCGGCCACGGGAAAGGCGACCCCAGCGCTGCCGCCTCGATCAGCATGACGAGGTGCGCGTCCACGCGCTGGCCGAACTCCATCACGTTGTCGGGCAGGTTGTTGATCTGCTGCTGGAGCTTGGTCCTCTTCGCGTAGCGGCGCAGTGAGGAGTCTGTGATCCACCTCCCGCGGTCCTTCACCTCGGGAAGGGAACGCCGCGCGGCCAGCAAGTCGTCGCTGGCCGCGCTGTGGCGCAGCACGTACAGAGAGGGCTGCGCCTCCAGCCCCAGCAGCTCGGCCGCCTGGTTGAAGGCGTCGCGGACCTCCGCGACGTCGAAGTCCCACAGCGCCGTGCCGCCAGGACGGGCGAGCTTGAGGGCCGCCCAGAGCGGCCACCAGTCCGTCTGATCCAGGGCCACGCTCTCGTCGGTGATCCCTGTCTTCCCAGGCCGCCCGTCCTCGCTCGGGTTGAGCACCAACCCCCACTCGCCGTAGCCCTTGCCTGCCAGCGGGTTCGGCGCCACCAACGAATCGCCTCGAAGGCGAAAGGCCTCCGAGGGGCGGAGGTACGCCGCGAAGGAGAGAAGCACGAACATCGCGAAGGGCAGCTGGCCGAGCGAGATCATCGCGCCCACGATCGCCATCACGGCAGGCCGAGGGATCGGCAGCCGCATGCAGGGCGGCTTCAGCTTCTTCCAGCCGTCCAGCGCCCTGCACGCCCTCGGCAGCGCGGCGCGGGGGGGGCCCAACGCTGGCAGCAGGTGTCGCAACGCCGACAGCGTTATCCGCCCCGTCGCCGTGTCGAAGCCGTCTAAGGCCAGGTGCGCCAGGAAGGCCGTCAAGATCACGTCGAGCTCCGACGACGTAGTCCAGGACAGGCCCATCCACAGGCACCAGGTGACCAGCCTCTGGGCGTGCGCCGAGTAGCTCTTGGCGGTGGCGTCGGTGAGCGCCGCCGCCTCCAGGAAGCTCAGGCGGCCGCACTTCAGCTCCGTCAGGGACGCCTGCGGGGCGAGCCTCTGGCGCGCCAGCGTCATGGCGCGGGGAGGGCGCCTCCCGCCCCGAGGCCCGCGCGGCGCCGTCTCCACGTGGACGATCGCCCTGCCAGTGCGGCCCGACAAAGAAGCCCGACCTCGACGGGGCATCTGACGGGTTGAACTCCGACGGCACCCAGCGCACGTACGCCCTGCAGCCCGTGGCGAGCAGCAGAGAGGTGATGCGGCGAAGAGGCCTGGTCAAATTTGCCGTCCGACCGCGGCCCTTGCCGGCACTGAGAGCCAGAGCCAAATTGTCAACGAAGAGGAGGAGGAGGCGGTGCCCCTGCAAGGGCCCCGAACGCAGGAGGTGGCGGAGGGCGAACTCCAGAGCGTCCCCCTCAGACTCCAAAATGTTCTTCCCCTTCGCGTGGACCCTGCTCGAGTGAACCACCTTCCAGTCGGTCTCCCTCAGGATCTCCACGGGGACCTCCGTGAAGCCAGGGAGCCCCGCCCCGACGTCCAGGGCGTTCTCAAAGTTGGCGACGTCGTCCAGGCCCCGAAAACGCAGGAAAAGATGCCCAGGCGAATTTCCAGAATTTGCCGGGGCATCTGTTTGCACCTTTTTCTCCGGTCGAAGTAGGCCCTCCTGACTTGATGAAGCCTCGTGAGCGTCTCCAAGAACGTGACCAGAAGGGCGCTGGACAGCAGAACTGGGGACCTCGGGTGAACCTGAAAGGGCATGTTGTCGAGCGGCTATGGCGTCATAGAACCTGTACCTGACCTTCTCGGCGAGACGACCGATCTCGGCGACGACGGGGACGGGCAGCGTGCGCCGACAGACCCCAATGCCATGCCCCGACGAGTCAGACGCGGTGACATCGGGCGCCCACGGCAACCGCCAAGACGTGGCCCACAGAGGCAATGTAGATTGGACCCACTGAAGCTCCCTGAGGACCCCGTCCCAGATCTTAGTCGGCTCCGGCGAACGACTCCGCGAGAAAGCGAAAGTGGCCGACAGCATTGACAAGGTCTCACGCCTGCTCAACATGGCCCAAGTGATGTGACCGACTAAGGATGAGAGGGCACGGGGCGAAATCTTTCCGTGGCGCAGAACCGATCGAATTCCAAGCCGCAGGCGAGCAAGGCGGGCACACGGGACCCTCATGGTCCCCTTGATGCCGTCGAACTCCAGGCCTGTGAAGATCATGGATGTACGAGCACCCTGGACCTCGTGCACGGGCAAGTGATGACGAGACACAGCCTCTGAGATGCGCTGCAGCACGCGGTCAGCTAGCTCACGCGAGCCCGCGACCACGCAGAAGTTGTCGACATAGGCAGCCACGGCCCAGTCGTCAGTGCGCTGCAGCACGGTCGGCGGGGCCCCGTCGACGATGAAGCGATGGCCCTCCACGGCCGCGTCTCGAACGATGATGTTGGTCAGAGCATCCTGGCAGAAATGCAAGGCCCAGTTCCAGCCCATGGGCATCACCAAAATCTCAGGCACCACGTCGATGTCCAGCCCCATGCCGTCCAAACGCAGAACCCGATTCGTGACGCACGGAAGGGTGAAAGCGCGGGCCAGCTCCGAAGGCAGCTGCATGTGGTAAAAGGCGCACTGGATGTCCGCTGCCGCCATATAGCCGCTGACCTCGGGGCTGATCTCCATGCCTGCCCAGGACGCTGAAGTAGGTAACTTGGTCCCAGCAGGCTCCACGAATGAAAGGTTAGCAATGCGAGTGTCGAACACCATTCTCAGGCTCCCGTCCTTTTTGATGACGAAGAACACGCCCACTGAAGGCTGCTCCCGTTGCCGTCGAGGACGAAAGCGCAGCATCCCAGCCGCATCCAGTCGACGAAGAAAGTCGGCGTAGCGGTCGGGGCAGCTCAAAAGGAGAGGGTCGACGTAAGGCTTGACCAGTCCAGACTCCTTGCGCCTGGCGTCTGCCTCGGACTCGGAGACAAGCATACTCGTCCTCCATGACTCTAGCCGATGCAAAGCGGCCTCGCTGCAGATATCGCCCAAAGGAGTGGGGGTCGTACCTGCGGCGGGCCAGGACACAGAGTCCTTGGCGTAGGGTCGCACCACGGTATCGTCTTCGCAATAACCAGGTGTATGTCGGAGCAGCTCTTCGAGGGCGGCATCCGAGGTGGCCTTGTCGACAGGCATGTCAGCAGGCCACGAAAACGATTGAAATGAATCGGCAATGTGCTCCAGCGCCAGCCTCTGCGGTAAGTTAGCTGCACCATCGGGCGCCGAAACCTCGCGTCCACAACTGCGCTGGCCGTTGAGGTCGTTGAGGCTATCTATGCACTCGTTGGCCCAGACTCGCCAGGCAGCACCACGATCACAACGTTGACGGGCACGACGAGAAACACAAAACTCCCGACGGGCGTCGACAGCGAGCCGAGGTAGGGGAAAGATATTGCGCTGGCGCTCGTCGGACGAGACCGCCATCGCGAAGCTGTGCAGCTCCTGGCCCGGGAAGTCCCAGCAGCCTCTGATGAGGGGCCTGCCACTGGAACGCGAAGCGCCGTGGGCTATTGACGCAACGCCCGCTCCTCGCGGGCCTTCCTGCGTTCTTTAGCCACCGCAGCCTCGGCTTTCAACTCGTCTGCAATCCACGTGCTGAGGAGAGGGCACACGCAAACGTTGCCGCGGCTCTCCTGCGCGCCGAGGAACAGGTTGTTCTCGACGCGATCGTCCAGCACGTTGCTCTTGTCCTTGTCCTTCTTGTCGTTACCCTTCGGCTTGAACGTCTGCTCAACCACCTTCTCTTCCAGGAGTTGGAGGCGACGTGCAGTCATCTCCAGATGCGAGAGCTCACCCACGTTGACCTGGTCATAGCACACCGCCAGCTCCAGGATGCGGCAAAGGAGGGCGTGCTCGCGCGTGATCGGGTCGTCCTCCGACATACGCCACTCCGACATCCACTTGGTGTGCCAAGCTGTCGGGGTCCCCGCCTGTCGCTGGATGTGGGCACACACCCAGGCGGCAGTCCTCGGACCACGCACAGGCCAATCCCTCCAGTTCGTCGATGAGTGGAGCATCGTTCCCTCACGGAAGTCCCTCCAGCGGTCGCCGCGGACGTCGATGCTCACGGCGTTGACGCGCAGGTCGGCTGGGGCAGCAGCCGCCGCAGGCGGGGCCGCCGCTGGCACCGCGAGCGCGCCCCCAGCCGCAGCCGCGGCGGGCACCGCGCCCGGCGCCGCAGCGGCCGGCGGCGCGGCCGCGGCCGCGGCGGCGGGCGGGGCCGGCAGTGCAGGGGCCCCAGGCGCGGCGGCGGGCGCGGCGCCCGCGCCCGCCAGGGCAGCCACCAGGCCAGGCATCGCGACGCCCCCTCCCGGCGCTGCTGCCGCAGCGCCTGCGCCTCCAGCGGCCGCCGGCGCCCCTGCAGGGGCCCCCGCGGCAGGCCCGCCAGGTGCGCCAGGCACCGCCGCGGGCTGCGGCGCAGGGTCAGCAACCACGTCGTGATTGCCCACCGCGAGGCCGCCCACGTTGCCAGCGGCCAAGGGCATGTTGGCGGGCGACGCGGGGCGGCCGCCTCCGAAAAGCGCGGCCGCCTCCATGATGCCAGCCCACACGTCGGCGTCGGACGGCAGCGCTCTGAAGCCGTACACGCGAAGCCCAGCTGGCCTCTCGCCCTGCCCTGCTATCATGATGATGCCCGCGATGTCGGCATCTGGAGTGCCACTCTCTTCATATCGATCACCGTCAGGCGTGATGACGTATACTGTCGTCCCAGGCCCGCGCCACACAATGAGCCGCTCATGCCACACGTGCGCGCCAGGCACTCGATATCTGACGAGCGCCCAATGCAACTGGTGAGCCATCTTCACGCAGTAGAGGCCTTCTTATCTCTGACGGCCCTCGCCTGGGCGCGGGCCGTTTCCTCGAAGCTGGCAGCAGGCGCCTCGGCGGCGGGGCTGCTCTCCGCCCTGCGAGCAAGCAGCGCGCCTCCTGCGGCACCGACGGCCAGGCCGACGGTCAGCGCGGCCGCCGCGTAGGCCGCGATGAGCCCCCCGCACGAGGGCTCGGGCACCTGGCCGCCAGCGCCCGCGCAGACACAGGCGGGGATGGCGGGGCAGGTGAGCTGCGGCGCGCAGGCCCCGCAACTCGGCGCGGCAGCGCGTGCCACCACGGAAGCTCCCACAGCCTGAGCCCCGTATCGCAGAATGTCTGAAAAAGATGCGACGATGTCTTGCATGGGAGCCACACAAATTATGACTTGAGCCGAGGCGGTTGCGGCACAGAGCATTGCAACGATCAAAGCACTACAAGCAGTTATATGATGATGATGATGATGATGATGATGATGATGATGATGATGATGATGATGATGATGATGAGGATGAGGATGAGGATGATGATGATGATGATGATGATGCTGATGATGATGATGATGATGATGATGATGATGATGATGATCGTGTGAGGCAGTTTCGGGGGTCCCTTGGGGCCCTCTTGGTCCGTCTTGGAGCCCTCTTGCGCCGGCTTGGGGCTCCCTTGGGGTGGCCGTCTTGGGGCCATATTGGTCGTATGGTGGGTGTCTGGGGGCTGTCGGACGGCGATGCCAGTGGTGGTGCAGTGCCCTCAATGGGGCCTCAGGAGGGGGCCCCTGTCCCTCGGCTTCCCTTCCCCTTCCGCCCTCCCCCCTCGTGCCCCCCTTCTGCTGTCCCTCATCCCCCCCCCTCTTTGATCCCTTCCTCCTCCTCCTTCTCTTCCTTCTCCTCATCCTCCTCCCTCCTCCTCCCCTCGCCTGCCCCTCCGCCTCGACGTTGTCCTCCGCTGCAGGTCGAGGTGGGGCCTGTGGACGGGGTGCCCACCTGCAAGCTCCTGTTCCTGGGAGCGCCGGCCGACGAGGACGCCATTCGCAAGGACGCGCGGACAGTGGATCGGCGAGGGGGCGGGCACGAAGACAGAGACAGCGAACGCCCTGACAAAGCATATCTGCTTCGAGTGATCCCCGCCCGAAAACGGAGGGCGGGATTCAGCGGCAGCACCCGCACGCTCTGGGCCTGGCGGCCGCGGCATGCAGCCGTCATTCGCCGAAGGCAAAGACACACCAACGTCAGGACCGATACAGCCAATCAGAGCCCCGAATTATCAGGGGTAACTCGGGTCAGGGCTAACTCGGGTTCGTTTTTCGGGAATCCGAACCCGACTTACCCCGGACCCGAGTTACCCCGGAGATTTCGGGCGTCCAGAGCCCCGAATCATCAGGGGTAACTCGGGTCAGGGCTAACTCGGGTTCGTTTTTCGGGAACCCTAACCCGAGTTACCCCGGACCCGAGTTACCCCGGATAACTCGGGCGTCCAAAAGACACACCAACGTCAGGACCGATACAGCCAAAGTCTGGATAATCGTCAAGGCGGACAGTTTTCGCCGTGTTCGGCCTCCAGGAGGGGCTGTCACAGGGACGCTGGGACTGGCAAAGCACGGCTCAGGATGAGAAGCCGATGCCCAGGAAAAGTTCCAGACTTTGTGTGATCCCTTTTGTGAAATGCCGACGTCCGATGTTTCTAGGGAACAGGAGGGTGGGCAGGAGGAGGAGGATAAGGAGGAGGAGGAGGAGGACAAGGAGAGGCAGGAGGAGGAGAGGCAGGAAGGGCAGGCATGCATTCGGGGAGGTGTTCCAGGATGTTTTGGAGTGTTCTGGGTTATCCGTAAGGGCTTCGCCCCCTGCAGCCGGCCTCCTCTCTGGGATAATGGGCAACGCAAGAGCGAAAGCATGAGGCCTTGGCGCCGCCGTGAAGCAGCGTCGGGACTTCACGCGAAAACGGTTAGTAATCGGTGAGACAAATTGAGATTCTGATGGTATTGTTGAGTTCGGTGTTGTATTTTTAGGGTTTATGGTTTCGGATACGCGAATAGCGCGCAACGTACGAGGGTTTATGGTTTCGGGCTCGCAGATATAGCGTAATTGACGCAGATGTATGGCTTCGGGGACGCGACTCGGTGTATGGCTTCGGACACGCGATTATTGCGTAATGTACGAGGGCTTATGGCTTCGAGATCGCAAGTATTGCGTCACTGACGCAGGTGTATGGCTTCGGAGGCGCGAATATTGTATAGTTTACAATGATGTATGGCTTCGGGGACGCGAGTATAGCGTGATTTGCGAGCGTGTGTGGCTTCGGAGACGCAAGTTTGGGGTGATTTAAAAAGGATTTATGGTTTCGGGGAGACGAAAATGGCGTATTTTGCGAGGGCTTGTAGCTTCGGGGACGCGAATATATGGTAATTCTCGAGAGTCATTGTCCTCGGGGACGCGAATACTGTATAATTTAGGAGTGATTATGGCCTCGGAGGCGCGAATGTCAGGTATTTTTACGCCCCCCCCCCAGGAATTCAGACAACGCGACTCGGGCGTGGTAACTAGGTTCCTTCTCGGCTCCCCCCCGCTCTCGCGGTCTATCAACAAGGAACAGTCAGCAGCAATACACATAATGGTAACAGTGGAAACTGGAAACTGGAACCGGCGCAGGGAACAGCAAACCTTGGTCCTACAGCCCGGTGGCCCCACAAGGGGTCCGGCGGGTTCTAAGCTTTTCTCTGGCCCCAGAGGACCGAGGGGTTTGAGGAGCAGCATGGGACAAGGAGGACGAGGAGGAGCATCCGTGCGGGTGCAGCGCCAATTCCTCCCTTTCCTCCTCCGCATTCGCCTCCTCCTCCTCATCCTCCTGGTGCTCGACTGCCCTGTGTGAGGGTTTGGGACGGGAGGGTGGATTCCAGCATATTTCGTGCATCTTGGGTTTACTCTGGCCCTCCTCGTCTTCCTCGTCCCCCTCGTCCTCGATTCCCTGGCCGTCGGGCGCTCGCCTTCGAGGAGGTGTCCGACATCATTGGCGACTCCGCCTCCATGACCGTCCAGGAGGGGGGAGGCTGTTCAGTCCGTTTTCTTCCTTACCCTTCTCAGTATCATTTCACCGATTCCTATCCCCAACCCCATCCCGATCACCACCCCCACCACTCCAGTTGGGGAGATGCCCCTCGAAACTCGAAGGAATAAGCCTATATCCCACCTGGGGGAGGGTAAATCGGCCAGCGGGGCCCAGGCCACGCCAATGGGGATAGGGATCGGTTCAATGATGCTCCTCCTCCTCCTCCTCCTCCTCCTCCTCCTCCTCCTCCTGCTGAGACCCCCAATCGCAACTTTTTGAGGCCGCTTTCAGCATGCAGAGACCCTCATCAGTCCCCAAAGCAACCCTGCCAAAAGTTAGCGACGTCGGAAGTCTAAGTCCCTTCCCAGGAACTGTTTTGTTCATCCCGAGTCATGCTGTTGACGGCGTTGGGGCCCGCCAAGGGCCCCAAGACGGCCGAATGTTGCCAACATTGTCTTTGACTTTGGCAACGTGAGGAAGTCTCCAGGCAGGCCTGGGACGAAGATACATCGCGCCACTACAGAACATTCCATATTGTACGCTCTCAGAGCGTTCTGGAGCGATTTGACACGGTTGCGGCACCCGATGCATCTTCCAAACCCGCCAGTTCCCGGAGATTCCCGATGTGTTCTTTGTTGGATGCTTGTCCATCCCGCATCCGTCGAAGGTCTGGCGTTCGGGTCATAGCTCGGATCTTTGGCGGCCGTCCGGGACGACCTGGGCACCGTCGGCACACACTCGGCGAGGCGGGGAAACCTCCAAGAACCCAGGAGGATGCCCGAGCACCTCTTCCTCCGCCCGCCTCGTCCCCGCTAGGGCTGAGCGCCTCGGGCAGCGGGTCCTGGACAGGAGAAACGGGGAAGCCGCCGCGCCCGAATTCGGAGAGTTCGGCGAGGCATGATTTGTTAACTCTTTCTTGATGCGTGAACGAATGCTCTCGCTTCCCAAACGGGTGTGGTGCTCCTCCTCCTCCTCCTCCTCCTCCTCCTCCTCCTCCTCCTCCTCCCTTCGCGCTTAAGGTAATTTCTCGGTTGGTTTTGTGCGAGAGTGCGCGAGCTGCTGCTGCTACGTCCACTTCCAGGACGGGCCCACCAAGACAGGATAGCTCGATCGGGTCGGCTATATATTCTTCTTTCCCACTTGGTGGCGTTCACGCCCTCTCCTTCTCCTCCTCCGTCTCGTGCGCCTCCTCCTCCTCCGCCTCCTCCTCCTCCTCCTCCTCCCCCTCCTCCTCCTCCTCCCCCTCCTCCCCCTCCAGGGTCTGGACTGTGTAGCCTCTCCCCTCCTGCTGGTCGCTATCCCTGGCATGGTGGAGGCGCTCCCCCGCCCGGCTCTCCTTGCGAAGGAGGAGGAGGAGGAGGATAAGTAGGAGTAGGAGTAGGAGTAGGAGTAGGAGTAGGAGTAGGAGTAGGAGTGGGAGTCAAGCTAGCCAGCTCGAGCGAGTCAAGCATGGCATGCCCAGTCCCACCCGCCCTCCCACAACATAAGAAGCAAAGCTGGCACAACTGGGGGCCGAAGTCACACCGGCCAGCCGGTTTGGTACAGCTGATGCGGCCGCGATGGCGGTTGCTGACGGGAACTGGCGAGCGCGTGTTGAATGCCGCGCACGCATTGCCGTAAAAACGGGGTGTGCGCCGCATCCCATTCCTGCCAAGCATTTTGCGACGTGGACGACAGGACGTCCATGCTGAGAGGAAAAACGTTGGTGCGCGGCGCCGAGGCGAGAGCGACATGTCACCCCTTCGCGCGGGGTGTGCGCCGCGTCCCATTCCTGCCACGCATTTTGCGACGTGACGACAGCACGACCATGTTGACAAGAAAAACAAAAACTGTGTATTGTCTTTTGCAGATTAGAATGGGACGGATTGGATGGGCGGGCGCGGGGTGTGCGCCGCGTCCCATTCCTGCCATGCATTTTGCGACGTGGACGACAGGACGTCCATGCGACGGTGCCAATGACGGCGACGACTCTAGAAGGATTTGAGCATGCGCTCGCGGCGACGCGCGCGCATGTCGCCCGCGTGGTATTTTTTGCACAGGATTCGCGGCCTGGGTGCATGACAGAGCATCGCGAGTGCACCGCGCGATGACGTGAAATCGCTGGATTTGACCGAATTCTTAAGATTCCTATGGTTTTCCTATGATTTCAGCAAGAGAGCCCGGGCAGGAAATTTGTAGAATTGTTTGTGAAAAAGCATTGGGTTTTTGATGTTTTTATGTTGAAATGCTTGCAAACACACGGTGTTCGGTAGGATTCTGACATGAACGCGCGCGTGTGCTCTTTGTGGTATTTTTTGCAATGGATTATCGCCGTGGACGACA